GTTATATATTTGTTCAATTACCTATTTATTTTATTTACTTATACGATAATAACAAATCATACATGTAATTTCTTTGACCTTATCATAATGTAAACTGATACATGTCATCTCCCGGGCATTTGCTTCGTTTTTGTACAACACACTGGAAATACCAAAATGGCTGACACCATCATAAATTGCTGGTCATAAAAAATAGAATACGCATGCGCAACATGCAAATTAGTCCACTCACTGATTCCTATTAGTTGTATTCATGCAATTGGGCAGAAAAAAATTTATAAAAAAATACATCAAAAATGCTAAATTTTAATTAAAATTTAATCAATCATTAGTAACATTCTTACCAAGTTATATAAAAATCGTTTTAATGCTTCTTGAGATATAACTGAAATAGCTTAAAATTCACACATTATTATGCAGATGAGCTCATTAATATGCATGGATGTCAACCAAAAACTAATCAAATCTGCGCATTGCCCCAGACAAGCTATATATCAAGTTTCATTGAAATCCGAACATTGGTTCTTGAGATATCGATGGAACAGACACAGACACAGACACAGACACACAGACAGACACAGACAGACACACACACACACACACACACACACACACACACACACACACACACACACACACACAGACAGACACACTGACTGCAAAGACTCCCTTTTTGTGCTTCGCACACGGGAGTCAAAAACAAGATGCCTGCCAGTCGACCATCTTTGATCCAATTGTGAAATAAATCGTCATGGACATGTATCCTAACATGTATAATCTATGTACCAAGTTTGAATGACAACTGACAAAGCATGTCCAAAATACAACATTTTCAAAAAAACAAGATGGCTGCCAGTCGGCCTTTTTGAATCAAATCGCTAAACCACTGCATGTGCATATATCCCACATAAGGTACTAGGCACATGCAAAGAATGAACGGAATCGGTCCAAGGGATTCTGAGATACGACTCTGGACGGACACACAGACGCACGGACGCATGGGCGGACGAAGACCGAATTATAAGTCTCCGAACGGGGACTAAAAAATGATAACGTATTTTGTGGATAATAAAATGTAACTGCGAGACATGTCTCATACCGGTATGGATATAAGCAGTGCATGATGGGATGGGAAAACAATTCATATCAATAATAAAGGTGCACTTTTAAGATGTTAACTCAAACTGTACATTTGAAATTGTTTCATTTTCGTCTTAAATATGTTAAAATTAGGTTCTTCAAATGGAAAGCAAGGGTTTCATGAAATAAATCCACGGCAACAGGGGGGGGGGGTATAATGAAGTCTTGTTATATCATCCAGTGCGCAAGAACGAACACGTAGATGGGTGAGGAGTCTAAGCAATTTGCATGAATTTTAATCAATTAGTATGCTGTAAGAGCTACTACACAGTTCCCACATAGACTTGGTCGAATCTGATTCCAGTTGTATTTACGCCAGTATTTAAAAGGGAACTAAATAGAGCCTATTTTGGTGTTTCTATTTATCAAGTTATGTATATTGATTATAAATTTGAAAAAAAAAATTAAAAAAAATTATTATCTTCAGAGTTATGATGATTTAAATATGACAAACCATAAATCTGCGAAGGACTTCCGTTTGTGCCATCTTGCCATAAAAAACGCCCTCATGAGGTATAAACAGGTAAGATAACAAAGCATGATGACGAAATAGTATCTGATTAAATATAAGCAACTTAGGGAGTCATAGTTGGCTGGACTGGTGAATTGACTTCTAGTCTAGGTTATTTCGACTTTTACGTTAATGTTATTTACAAGCATATCAACATACAAACATTATGGATGTGCGATTGATCAAGACAGGCATTTTGTTTTGTTTTTTGTCTAACTGTCTAATAAATGCTGTTTCCAGTACTGCACTGTGCAGCGTGCAAATTATTCAAGTATGGAGTATGCAATCTTGAGTTCGTAGGGTGGTGGTAGAAACATTTTCGTCCATGTATTCAGGGGGCTGCACTGGCAAATCATGGGATAATTGTCACAAGAACACCAAGCAGATTGTTCACAGACTTCCGTGTAATTTGAAATAAAACTATCATCCGAACAATGGGCATCGTCAACGATATACTCTCATCACTCACACTGGACTGATCTGAATCTTCACAGTATGCCGTACTTCCCTGATCATAAGCCCGGAGGCATGAACACGTAAGGGAAAAGTAAGGGATGAGCTTATACTCGAGGAACAACTCTGAAAAGATGATTTTGTTTTGGGGTTAAACACTGTAATTATCCTGCTGACAAATTATCCAAAATTATCCAAAAAAATTATTCGTTCACCACGCCGGGCTCGGGAAAATAATACTTATTTTTGAAAAAAAATGCGTCATTGATTTCCACGACACTATCAGGGGGGAAATTCTTCTCCTCTGGGGTTCTCCACACGTGCCAGGGGGAATTTTGTCTCGTCTCTCTATCGCGTCCCCTTGAGGTACGGGATCGGGAAAGTCACTTAAACCTTAAAGTCAAATAGACGCACACAACAAAATACGGTTCAATAGCTAGTCTTTAGTCGGTCAGTCAAGTACTCTATAAGACACAGCGCCCTGGAGTAAAGTCCCCAAGACTATCGCAAGGCTGACTCAAGACTCTGTCCCAAGACTCTCCAAGACTGCGTCTGTCTTTCATTAACCAATCAAAATGTCGTAATGATGAAATTTTTCGATTATTGACGATTTTTTAACGCAATGCGGAAGTGAATTACCGCAATGTTAAAATGCGATCTGTAGCACTGATTGCAACGAAAAAACGATGATTTTTTCCCTAAAAACTGGCAATTCGCAATTTTCGAAATATAAACGACGGTTAATAGTAACCGTGGGTAAACTGAGTGTGGAGGAAAAATTTAAACACCTTTCACGGTCGCCAACATCATGTCACATCGTTCAAACCCTGGGCCTTTCATGATAGTCTCAAAGTAAACCATGCCCAATAACCAGGTACACGACTTAACGATCACATTTTTGGCTTTTCGAAAGCTACTACTCAAAGAAATATGGAATACTCCAGTATTGCAACATCGGGGTTCATCCTGAGTAAATGACAGAATAGAAAGGATGCGAACCACATTGTGTACGTTTGCCATGCACTCTGAAATTAATGCGAGTTTTCTCATAAAAACTAAAAGCACGAACCAAACTACCATGCCAATCACAATTATTATGAAATGAAACGCACCTTTTACACGCATATTTTAAAGAATATCGTCGACACCCAGTAAAAACACTCCTTTTATATAATATTTATAATCGTGAATGCTCTCAACTCGATGAATATACCTAGTGAAAATATAGGAATGGGCTTTATACTCGGGAGGGGCTTACGATCGGGAAAGTACTAACAGTACTTTAACGCAATTGGGCTTCCACTTTCAGCATACTGTGGTTCAAACGCCTAAAGGCTCTAACCCAAGTTTTAAAAAGCCGTTGTGCATATAAAAGTTGAGTATATACTAGTAGTACACAATGCTTGGCAGCATGAATGGCTATGTACAATGGCGTATACAAATGCGACCAGATACTAAAATGTCATAGCTTTGAAAAGTACCCGAATGTTAAATATGTTCGTTCGTTATTTATTCCCCTCCATGAATGGCCTCCATGGTGTTTAATTGCAAGCACTTCAAATGCCTATCTAAGCTACATGTACAGTTATAATTATAACAAAATTAAACCACTGCAATATTATTTCTAATACAGTTTAGAATATACACAACTATAAATTAAGGCCGCATTTAGATTCGCTTTAAGACAGATCACACAATCAATGCGTACATACGTTATCACTGTTAATTATTATTATAATATACACAGTAAAAACAAATTACTTGAAAATAAAATGAACCGAGTATTAAAGCAATGTTTTTTTACTTATCTTCCTAAATTCTCTTCCAGTGATAAAATACTGCAACCATCAAGCTTGACATTCTCATATATAACAGGTCAATATATTTAGACTCATGGCAAGTATCCCAACCAGCTGCAGTGAGGGTGAACCTGAAGCAAAGAAGACAAAATTGTCTAAAGACGTAAGTACAGTAGTATAACCTGTACAAACAGCACGATGAGTAACATATATTGCTTCTTATTTTAAATTGCATTGTTTTTGTCAGGGAGCCTGGAGACATGACATTTTTGAATTTGTACATCCTCACAACAAAGTTTTGTGAAACTTTTTTGGAGGGTAGTATTATCTCTGATGTATTAATATTGTATATGTTTTTATTTCATAAAGCAATATAATATTGTTGGTATTTTGAAAAAAAATGGCAAATTATAAAAAAATACTTATTCCAGCAAATTCAGACTGTTTCTTTCTAGGCGTTCCAACGTATAGCTCCTAACTCTCTGTACAACGTTCCATGTATTAACCAAAAGTTGTAATTAAAGTTAGGCGAATGTGGTGAACCCATTGCATTAATATTTGCCAAATTCTGTCTGTTTGCTGCTCTCTATGCGAGTCATGCCTATTAATTATAAAAGGTCTGGCTATTCAAATAGTTTTCTCTTTTGATAATGTAGCGAAGCAGATGGCATGGGTTTGTTGTATAATGGCCGGATACAATACGAGTGTTCACAAGTATCATTCAAATCAGTTTTGTATTTGTGTTTTGCCTGAGAAATAGATAAATATGTTTCATTGTGATTTTATACAGTGAATGCTTATTTCTGCTCACTTTGTTCTGTCAAATCTGAGATAATCGTTCTGTTCTGCGTTTTACTTGGAACTTGTTAATTTTGTGATGTCAAGTTCTCTGGACATTGCGCTGAAAATTGAACTGTTGTGTCTCACATATTACTACATAACATAAGTTGTTTACGTGTGTCTGCTTTCAGTGTGAAAACATTGACCTACATGTGTGATACATGATTCAGGAAAATTATTGTTCGTTAAGTTACTGATACATTGAATTTCTATTACCAATTTTCATAATGGTGTACAACAAATCAACAATGCATTTTGGGAATGTGATGTCAAATAAAAGAAATTGTATTTATTATGAATGGTCTTGACAACAGATACATGGCACCAAGGGTTCATTTTACACTATCCATGCAATACATGCAATACATGCTTAGTCCAACTTTTTAATTATGTTTACCAACAGGACCCTGCTGTGTTGATGGTATGCAACAGATGGTTGCCTAAAGCATTAGACTACTCAATCTCTTTCATCAATAGACAACTAGCAATATTATTGGCAAGGGATGGAAAACGTGTGTATTCAATGGCAGTGGAGGCAACTGATGAAGACAAAAGGGATGCTGATAAACACAACATTGAATTGTTGTTGTTTCGTCATCGCAATAAAGAGTCATATACTCCAGATGAGGGGTGGTTAAACAGTTGGAGAGATGGTTTCCCTCAGCTTGAGGGAATTAAAAATGACATATCATTGGTGATTGGCCATTTTTGCCCTGAAGAAGAGTCCACTGCTGATGCTGCTTGTGGTATTCAGAAGGTTATGCCAAAAGCTCATCTAGCACTCTTCTGTCATAATACACCTACTAATATGAGTGATACTGCAAATAAAGACAAACTGGATAAGGACATTTTGGAATATGCACAGAAAGCATCGTTAGTGTTATCACTGGGCAAACATGTACACGATGATCTCGACCTTAAGTTTATGGCATTGGATCCTAGAGAAGATGGGTCTACGCCCATATTTCAGGTGTATATTCCCGGACCAGATGATGAGGTTCTCCAGCAAAACATAAGTCATGTTAAAATGGAATCAGAAGTTAACGTGCTTACAGTAGCAAACAATTCTACAGATACCTCACATTTTGAGTTGATAAAGTCTGCAATGGTTGATGTAGCAGAAACAAACCACAACAACCATAAGAACACTATTCTGACTGTTGGTTGTTTAGATACAAATGCAAATAAAGGCACAAGTAAAGACAGACACTTACAGGTCGTAACTCGTGAATGTACATCTCTAAAAAAGCTGATAACTCTTACCAAGCAGTGTAACCTCATCGTCGATCCAGATGTAAACAAGCCATTCAGTCTTACAGCTTTACATTGCATAGCAACTGCAACACCAGTACTTGTGAATGGAAATTCTGGATTTGCTCAATTTATTGAAGAAGAGGATGGTTTCGATGTACTAGCAAGCAATGCTGTTGTTGATACTGGCATTAATTTTAATGGAGACATAGAGATGAATAAAGATAAAGAAGAATGGAAAAAGCTCCTGTACCGGACACTGGATAAGTATGATGTATCTCTCAAATGGGCTAGCATGATGAAAGATGCCTTGAACAAGTCAATCACTTCTGGGCGCATTTTTCATTGCAGGGAAAATTTTGTGAAGTGCTGTAACAGCATCCTTTCCTTGTGCAAAGGTAGGAACATGTTTCAATTCATTCCATATTTAAATATTCAAAAACAGTAGATAATCAAGCTCCAACGCTCATGGTGTGAACTTGTTCAAACAATAAACTTATCCATGTATTTGAATACACTTGCTAGAAAAAAATCATAAAAGGCCTGTGCACAAGTCACCCTATCCCTGCATGTTCATTAAATAAGCCCAGACCAAACTGTTCAATCACTCATGTCGTAATGACTCTTTTGGGATATATTGCGTTTAGATGATGAAAAAAATGAAACACCATCTAATCCAGTCACTGGACTTTCCCAGCAGTTAGATGAAGACAAAAGAATTGAACAAGGTAGGACATTATATCAAACTTATTTGTATCACTTTAGTAGTTGTCGGTATGTATATATGTATACATATTTATATGGGAAAGTGCACTGGCATGAAAAGTAGTGTGTGAGATATGTAGCAGTTGCAAGAGCACAATGCACTTTTTATTTTATTACGCTAATATTCTCAGATTTCCTGCAAACTACTGAGTAAATTTAAGGATTCTGTCTGTTAAATTTGAATGAACAATCTTTTTGGAATCTTTTTTACAGAACGTTTTAAAATCAATAAGATATGTATCCTGCTGTCTCCACGTAGCCTTTACGATCAGAGTTTATTCTGTGCAGCTTTGATATGTTTTAACACCTAGTAAAAAATATCACAGGTTTCAAAAATATAACTTCTTTAATCATGGAGGGCTAATACAAGGATGATGCAGATTACGGCTTTGGAGTATGTTCAGAATAAGCTTTAAATATAACACCATCACCAGGATGCATACTCAAACTAGTTATTTAATTTGATTTCTTTATAAGGAATAATGCATGACAAAACATTTTTCTCTTTATATAATTACAGATCGTGATATCAATCCAGGTAGTTCTCCAAAACATTCTACAAATAGTGGAAACTCATCACATAACCCTACAGGTCAGTTAAATTTACAATAAGTATTTAAGTTTAAATACTAATTATTCTTCAATCACATAGGCTTGAATAATACACATTTGATTTGAAGTAACTGATTGCATGAAACAGGATAAAAATCACTGCTCACCTCATGTTCGTGAATACAAAATTGTGTTTATAATTGTGACAGGAGAATCATGTTACGAGCACGGCCGTGTAAATATATATGTCCATTCTGGAGAAAAACAGGTGGATCAAAAATTGAGGCAAATTGAAAATTTGAAGACTACTAGAGCACAAATAGAGGCAGAGGGTGACATAGAAACCAGAGAATCGAAGGAAGGCTGCCTCATCCTGCCCGTTATATGCAAGCGCGTCAGAGCATTGGATAGGCTTTGGTCACAGATGTGGTCAGGAGAGCTGAATCAGATGATTCAAAAGGAGATCGTCACACCAGATTTCCTGCAAAGTGTAAATTTAACTGAGGTCAAGTTGACAACCAATATTCTTACATGGGAGTACAACAGATGCAGAGCAGAACTTATCCTTGTTATTGGAGGTGAGTTATAAAACATTATCTGTCAAAGTTCGTTTGTAATATTTTTTCATCTACGTTTGGTAGCATTGGTATTATAATTATTAGGAGAAATTTAACATCATTTTTTCAAGAAGGTATTAGAAGATATTAGAAGATATTAATAACAATTTTAAAGGAAACCATCTTGAAGATTTGTTGAAATGTTATAGGTTTAACGTAACTATTCTTTTTGTTTGTTTACATAATTCTGTGTAACTGATGATGAATACGTGAGAGATAAATACCCAATGAAATCTGACTTAAAGCCAAGTGAAGATACAAAAGAGGTATACTATCAGGATAAAAGTCGTTTCTTAATAGAGATGTACTTTGCAAATCGTCTAACAATCATATGTGTGTGGTAGCAATAAGAAATATGTTGGTTTTCAACTAATGTACACCGCCGTACAGTGTTAAATATTGCAACAATAAGGAGACTCTTACAAAACCAAAATGTAGACATTTTTTACACATTTAGATTTGATTCAATTACAGGGACAACAGCATACTACATCAGACACAGAAGGCAAAGACATTATTTCAATGGAAACACATTGTGTCGGTAAGCTATAACGATACTATAAATGGTGATACGTTGGGGGATGGTTTCTTCATTTTGTCAGTAATCACTAAATGTTTCTTTCTAACACATAGTGGCTGTTGAATGTGACTCCAAAAACATCCACAGAGAGTTAGTGCGCAACGTGTTTCAAAACTACGGTAATGTTATTTCCGAACATTGGAGACGTTACGAGGATGTAGAGATTGCACGTTTCAATCTGGACAACTGCGATGTGATAAGGATTATTGATGATGTAAAAGATCAACCGGAAAAGCTGTATTTCCTTGGTGTGATGAAAGTCGTAGCAGTTAACAGTGAAATGGAATCTTTTGTAGAATATAACAAAGATAAGATGACTACATACGATGACAATGGTATGTTTATTATTAAGGTTTCTATTCATATATTACCGCATTGAATTAAGTTCATTCCAGTCATAATTATCCTTATGATACAGCTTAATTTAAAAATTAAAAAATAAATAATTGATAACATAGGATTATAAATGTTCTATATATTTTCAGCTCTATATGGTTTTCTCCACACAAATGGTGTGGATATCCAAAGTATCGTGAGAAAAACAATGGCTCAGTTGAAATCCAATAACGCTTTTCTGAGAGGTATGTCTCTATTACTGATTGAACCATCACCGGAGGCATATATGGGTGTAGCCACACACTTCCTGGAAGATGCCATAGAAAATAGGAAATTACTGATATCAAAAAATAAAGAGCTAAAAGAAAAGAGCGATTCAGTAGTAGAGTTGGAGAGAAGCCTGAAAGAAAGGTTTGTATACGAGGACAAATTACGTAAAATTCTAGCAGAATTGCAGATTGCTAGGAGTAGAGACAATGACAAGCTGAAAGAATTTGAAGTTGCGACATTGAAAAAAGATGAACGGATCAACGACTTGATGCAACAGTTATCAAAAACCAAGGAACAGTTGGAATATGAGAAGATGTTACATACTACATTAGAGAAGTCGGCGCAGTCAGATACAGAAACAAAGAAACAAGTTGTCCATGGTGCAAGCCCAGATGAAAAGCCAACAAATATAGACACTAAGAATGATAATAAACATGGCGATGGAAGTAAAGAGGTAAGTAAAAATGGACTTGTTTTCACACTGAGGTAACATAATTTATTCAGATAAAATGTATTCTTATCATACCTCTCATTGCAGGAATCAGTACACTCAGACACAGAGAAGAAAGAAAAAGATGTGTACAGTGCACTCCCCAGTGTTGATGAGAAACAAGCGACGACAGACACTAAAACCGACAATAAACAAAGACTTGATGTTAGTGGTAGGGATACTGGTAGTGATGATGGTGGCGACAATGATGATGATGGTGACAGTGATGATGGCGGTGACAGTGATGATGGTAGTGGCAGTGATGTTGATGGAAATAGTGATAATGGCAGTGATAGTGATGATGACAGTGCAAATAACGAGGTAAGTATTCAAATATGATGAAATGCACTGATATCAAGGTCTTGCATTTGAACAATCTATTATCCCGGAACACAACAAAGTTTTGCTGCTTTAAAACAATTCAAGATTCACGATTATATATAAAAATATCCACCACCACTTCCAATATTCAATTGACTTTCATAGCATATCAAATTATAGAATCACAGTCCTTAACTTGCTGACACAAAGTTTGTGGAGCATGACATTTGACATGTCAAATGAACAGTGCCCTCTAGTGGCAACTAGCGTCCCTTTTCTGTTTTCTGTGTTCAAATTTTAATAAAAGCACAAAATTTAAAACATTTGTATATTTTAATGTTATCATTAAAATAATATGTCATTCTTAGTTCTCTCTGGAATCAAATCATTGGTTTTAAAAATTTGAAAAACAAAATGCAACCTTACAAATAATGCATGTAAAATATTACATGTAGTATTCATATAATATAGAATCTGTACCCGTGGTATTGACCGTCGTAATTGTTTACGTTCTGTGTTTGTGCAGTGACTGGTTGGCACTCATACTAGTTATTAAATATACATATATGTGTTTCTGCTGATACAACAACTTATGAGCAATGTTAACACAGCGAGGCATTGAACAAGAGACTCTGTGCTCATT